ACAATGATGATGATGATGATGATGATGATGATGATGATGATGATGATGATGATGATGATGATGATGATGATGATGATGATGATGATGATCACTGGACGCGCTCATTGGAGGTAGCAGTCACTTTAGCACTTTGGACAAAACAGGGTCATCAGGGTAACAGGATTTGTGTATTGGAATTAACGTGGCAATCCTGCATCCATCGGTAGTTCAGGGCTGTTCTAAGACACGATTGGATGGCTAATCCAGTGATACAGCGCAGCACTCCAACATCAACCTGGTTATCCTATCTGGTCTACTGATTTTGTTCTCTTCGATTTTCGTCACTCGAAGAAAAATATTCTGTGTATATATATGTAGCTCCATTGGTTGAGCACTGAAGCTCTGTGGTGGTGTGTATGCATCCAAACGGATGAGATCACCCGTTTGTATCCAAGCTGTCACTGAGTTCGTCCGGATCTGCGATAGCCGCGGTATGTCTCTTCTTTTGATCAGAAGATTTATCGTCTTCTTGGGACAAAGTAAAGCTGGGCAAAACTCCGATCAACAAAAAAGAGTGTCGCATTGTCTGGGCAGCTTTTCCGTTGCAAATGTGTTGTGATACTCGTCGGACAAAAGAGTGCGTAGTCGGACTTCGTCCTTGGATCCGACATTTCTGAGTGTGAATTATTGCTTGACAGTTCAGTTTCGGCTAGCCTTAGCCGATCAGACATAGGAAAAGACGCACTGGGTTTGCAACTATATAAGATAGGGGGTGGTTGGTGAAATTGTAAGCAAGAATTTCCTTGGTTGATTGCTTCAAACAGTACAATTTAAGTCAATCCAAATGCTACTATAAAAGACACCATGAGTCTTCAGAGAGTGCGTGCGAAAGGCTTTGCTTGTTGTAAGAGGTATAATGACTTTCAAGTTACAGCACCATTGACGATTGACGTATGTGAGTTGCGTTTCATCCACAAAAAGAATTCATTGAAGTCAAGTAGTTGTCTGGACTTTTGGTGTCATAAAATTCGCGAGAGAAGAAAGAGTAGACTATGAATTCTCTACCACAACAAGTCGCACTCTGAAGCGGTGTTTCTTCGTACTATTGTTTTTCACGTGCGACCTGAGGTGTAGTGAAATGAATCGCACTCTGTTCTTTAATTCTCCTCGGTTTTGTTGACATTTTGTCAGCACACGACTTTGTCTATTTGGCTACGTTTAGTTCAAATTCCTTGGTTGATGGCTTCAAACAGTACAATTTAAGTCGATCCAAATGCTACCACCACGAGTCTTCAGAGAGCGCGTGCGAAAGGATTTGCTTGTTGTAAAAAAGAGGTATAATGACTTTCAAGTTACAGCACCATTGACGATTGACGTATGTGAGTTGCGTTTCATCCACAAAAAGAATTCATTGAAGTCAAGTAGTTGTCTGGACTTTTGGTGTCATAAAATTCGCGAGAGAAGAAAGAGTAGACTATGAATTCTCTACCACAACAAGTCGCACTCTGAAGCGGTGTTTCTTCGTACTATTGTTTTTCACGTGCGACCTGAGGTGTAGTGAAATGAATCGCACTCTGTTCTTTAATTCTCCTCGGTTTTGTTGACATTTTGTCAGCACACGACTTTGTCTATTTGGCTACGTTTAGTTCAAAGGTTGTGGGACAGGCAGAGTAAACTGATTGATGGCCAGAAAAACAGATGAAATCTGAAACGTTGTTGGATCCAAATTTCGACTAACGTGGAAGCGTCAGAAATAGTGTCGGCAGTCAAGACGGCTTTGTTGAGAGGAACTAGTCAGTGCAGGATCTCAGTTGCTGTTAGGGTTGGCGAAACTAAGCACTCGGCTAGAGGAATGTTCTGAGGTGGTCGGTTAATGAGAATGACACCCTAAAGGTTCACAATGTGTTGCACAAGGGTGAAGGAAGCTTGCACTTTGTAACAGGCAGTCCATCAATCTAGCCAGCCTGGAACCTAGCTGAATCTC